GTGGGTTAGAGCAACATAATACCTGGAATCTTCCATTGACAAGGTAGCTCAGTGGGTTAGAGCGACATAATACCAGGAATCTTCCATTGACAAGGTAGCTGAGTGGGTTAGAGCAACATAATACCAGGAATCTTCCATTGACAAGATAGCTGAGTGGGTTAGAGCAACATAATACCAGTAATCTTCCATTGACAAGGTAGCTGAGTGGGTTAGAGCAACATAATAACAGTTTGAGGTCTAGGATTCGAATTCTGGTCTAGCCTGACACTAATATTTTACACTCTGAACAATAAATTTGATTATTTTTTCTTTGTTTCATCTCTGTTTTTCCAAAAAAGTCCTGCAAAGAATATATTTTTATTTTCAGAAATATTTTTTTCAAACCTATAGTACATGTACTAGTCATGCCAGAAAAATAAATTTATTTAATCAGTCTTACAGGGATCTTTAATCTGAACTGGACAATACGATAATTTAAAGATCTGCCACCAAATAAACAAAACCTGCACAATTACATTTATATTAAGTATATATGCACACGTGCCAGGAGGTATTGAATACAACAAGCATATTAAGGTTCAAATATTGTCAAATGCTTTTGACGTCATGGCAGACTGGGGCTGCCACAGTTTCAACCGAGGCCTAATTACTACCTGTATGTCTGTATTCCTCAGTGACACATATCTTTGTGTGCTTTTAGAGAATATAATCAACAAAATAAGCTTGTCTCATTCTTTTTTATGCCTATATCTAGCCAACCATTAATAACTGCCTAGGTGGTTTTTTTTTATCTGTGTAACAGGAGAATTAGGTGAAAATGTAACGACCAGACCGGGGTTCGAACCCGGACCCTACGAACTCTAGACTGACACTCTACCAATTGAGCTACCTGGTCACTGACGATCGACCCAGTCCTGTTCTGCTACATCTGCAACTATAACTTTGCAATATTTTCCTTAAAATCCAGTAATAAAACCGTTTATGATATATAGGTACTTAAGCTCACAACACATTTAACCAATTCCTTCCGAAAATAAACCACCTGTCAGAAAACTAAGTAGGAGCATTGAGCATGTGTACTCCTTACTGACTACCTAAGACCAAAACAAAATCAATTTTGATTCCGCTATCATCCTCAGGAAATATAGGGTAGGTACATGTAGGTAGGTAGGCAAGAGTTTTTGGAAAATATTTTTACTATGCTGATATAGAGCATGAGTTTTACTTTAACCGTGCATATCACTAAATGCCAATAACAAATTTTGGGTAAGATCAAAAATCTAAGGTTGGTATGTTTAATTAGTGGAAACACAGGTTGTTTTTATTTGGCCTAACGGACATATCTTGAACATATGCATTTTTGTCCCCCTTGGACCCCCTCTTTCCTATGTTTCTGTCCCCCTTGGAGCCCCCCAATCCCCTCCTATGTTTCTGTCCCCCTTGGAGCCTCCAATTCCTTCCTATGTTTCTGTCCGCCTTGGAGCCCCCTCCATCACACTATGTTTCTGTCCTCCTTGGAGCGCCTTCCCTTACACTATGTTTCTGTCACCCTTGGACCCCCCTCCCTCCCACTATGTTTCTGTCCTCCTTGGAGCCCCTTCCCTTACACTATGTTTCTGTCACCCTTGGACCCCCCTCCCTCACACTATGTTTTTGTCCCCTATTGAGCCCCCTCCCTCACACATTGTTTCTGTCCCCCTTGGAACCCCCTCCCTCACACTATGTTTTTGTCCCCTATTGAGCCCCCTCCCTCACACAATGTTTCTCTCCCCCTTGGAGCCCCCTCCCTCACACAATGTTTCAGTCCCCCTTGGAGCCCCCTACCTCACACAATGTTTCTGTCCCCCGTGGAGCCCCCTCCCTCACACTTTGTTTCTGTCCCCCTTGGACCCCCCTCCCTCCCACTATGTTTCTGTCCTCCTTGGAGCGCCCTCCCTTACACTATGTTTCTGTCCCCTATTGAGCCCCCTCCCTCACACAATGTTTCTCTCCCCCTTGGAGCCCCCTCCCTCTCACAATGTTTCTGTCCCCCATTGAGCCCCCTCCTTCACACTATGTTTCTGTCCCCTATTGAGCCCCCTCCCTCACACATTGTTTCTGTCCCCCTTGGAGCCTCCCATTCCTTCCTATGTTTCTGTCCGCCTTGGAGCCCCCTCCATCACACTATGTTTCTGTCCTCCTTGGAGCGCCCTCCCTTACACTATGTTTCTGTCACCCTTGGACCCCCCTCCCTCACACTATGTTTTTGTCCCCTATTGAGCCCCCTCCCTCACACTTTGTTTCCGTCCCCCTTGGAGCCCCTTCCCTCACACTATGTTTCTGTTCCCCCTGGGGCCCCCTCCCTCACACTATGTTCCTGTCCCCCCTGGAGCCCCCTCCCTCACACAATGTTTCAGTCCCCCTTGGAGCCCCCTCCCTCACACTATGTTTCTGTCCCCCATTGAGCCCCCTCCTTCACACTATGTTTCTGTCCCCATTGGAGCCCCCTCCCTCACACTTTGTTTCTGTCCCCCCTGGAGCCCCCTCCCTCACACATTGTTTCTGTCCCCCTTGGACCCCCCTCCCTCCCACTATGTTTCTGTCCTCCTTGGAGCGCCCTCCCTTACACTATGTTTCTGTCCCCCTTGGAGCCCCCTCCCTCACACTTTGTTTCTGTCCCCCTTGGAGCCCCTTCCCTCACACTATGTTTCTGTCCCCCTTGGAGCCCCCTCCCTCACACTATGTTTCTGTCCCCCTTGGAGCCCCCTCCCTCACACTAATTGTATTTTATTTACAGGAGCTTCCTGTGTGATCTGCCAGCTCAGCATTCTGTAGATGCCCCATACATATAGCTCCATATATAGCCAGCCTCCGTAACCACTAGTCATGTGAGGTATGAATGGGTATTGATTATTTTCAATGAGTGCTCCTACTTACACACACACACACGTTGTAACCAGCTGCTGAAGCACCAACTCCGTATTACTGCTCACATATCGGTCATTACCAAGCTTTTCTATGGACCAAACACACCCTATATAAAACCTAGATAATGCCGCCGGAACATAAATGTTGGAAAAATTTGTGACGAAATTTACAGAGCACTTCACAGAAGAACGATCATCTCATTCCTTTATTACCCAAGTCTTTTATGTTTGCATTACAGTGGTTTTACAATACTTTTCTATACTAGCAGGGATTTCAATGCCATTTCCTATACAACCGAACCTTGCAGAGAAAGCAGTTTGCAAGTTCTTTACAGCCCGTCATGACACGAAAATGGTCAGTGTGACTATCATGTGAACAATCTGACAATTCACTCATTCACCCCTGCATTTTTTAAACTGGACTTGCCCAGTCTTTGATTTGGTAAGGTTCAAATGTGACTTCAGGGGTGGATGGGTTAAACCATCTGAACACTAAAACTGGACAGACTTCTTTGTAGGATTTATTTTATGAGCTTTGAGCCCTGTACAAGAATTTTGAAATTGAAATGAATCACAAATCACCATAGAGGAGAATTCCAAATGCGTTGAGTCCCAACCAAAAAGTTAGAGAACAGGGCCCGCATTCATAAAAAAGGGTCTCGTGCTCAAAGTCAGAGGCTGTGCTCAAGACAAATTTCTTGTTTCATGAATTAATTAATAAAAAAAACACATTTCTTAAGGATCTGTAAGACTTTTGGAAAGGCTTAAAGCTGTAGTTTGTTTAGTTCAAATACAAAATACTGAAATGCCTGCCATAGAGTAAGCAATGCTCAAATGTCAATTGGATTTCTTAAAATGATAACTTATGAGCAGAAAAATATTAGCAACAGTAACAAAAAAGTTAGCATGGCTCAACAGTCATTTGAATATTTGAAAATAATTGACGTGACGAGAAGACAACATACAAAAGCATTTTGTACAGAAATACTGTACCACTTGTGTTTAGACAAAACATATTTCTCGGGGTTTTTTCAACAGCAGATAAATCAGAATTAAAACCTAACGTTACATTCAATGACCAGCTGTGCCAATGATACATTTGTGACATACAAAAAAGCACATAGACAGCTGATTACAAGGCGTAACATATGGTCGGTATATAAAGTATATCACATCTATACCGATACTTCATAAATACACTAACACAACCTACTATATGTATGTGCTATTTGTTATCAATCAAATTGTGCAATGCAAATTTGTATGTGTACCAGAATGTGCATTACTATAGAATTGATATATATAAGTGTACAGACTTATATATATCTACATCTTGGACCTGATAAGGGTTCCAGGCACGGGCAAATGACAAGTATGCACCTTTATCTGTCAGTTTTCCTCAAAACATACCTGGTTTTATTATCATTTTTCACCCTGGAAGTATGTTATGGACAAGAGTGACCTTTGACCCTTTAACCTCTAGACATGACTGACGAACCTGATCATAACTTTATGTTATCATACTATGGCTTCAACATAAAATAAAATCTGTTCACATCTTCAAGACATATCTTGTACACAACCTTTTAACTTCAAAGGTGGTCAAGTGGTATCTTTGACCGTGACCTTTGACCCGTTAACCTTCACTTTTGAACACCAAAATCTAATCAGGAGTAGAACTTGATGTTACCATATACTACGTACAGTGTATAAACTAAATCTGTTCAAAGTGTTTGTATAAGGCATCTTGTACAGAAGCATTTTACTTTAGCAGTATGGACACACATACAAACTGACGGGACACAGAAAGAAATTCCAAGATACTGTATACCAGGAAATGGTCACTGCACTTAAATTTTTCGCCTTTTTCACCCTCCATAATTAAGGCAAATTTATCAATACAGCGAACATTTGCAAACAACCTAATATACATAGTAATGAAATGTGAATGGCTAATTTAATACTGGGCGAAAATGGATGTTACCGTTAAAGCGAAACATTTTACTGGGCGATATACAGTGGTGCACTGCAAAGAGTTTACACACATATGAATAGTTTCATCAGAGTATATATAACATCCCTATAACGTAATACCTTATCTGCTGCTTCTGGATTGTCCGGATTTTTGTCGGGGTGAAACCGCAGTGCCAACTGTAATCAACAGAAATGTGATTTAGAGGTGTTAAAAAACACATATCTATACTTAATACATATTTATTTAAAAAGGACTTTTTGATAAAACTGCAGACATTTCTGTTGAACAAGTATCCCAATCGATTGGAGCAATTGTATACTGTATATATATATCAATCTGAAGACCGGTGTCCAAACCCTGGTCTGGCCTCGCTGATTTTTTTCCCACTCAAAACACTGTTGTTTGATAATATTTTATTTATTTCATCTCATAAAAGTCCTGCAAGGTATAGTTTTCTTTTCAGAAATGATTTATCAAAGCTACATGTATACCATGCATGCCGAACAAAACAAAACAAACGGTTTCCAACACTTATTTGCAGATTTGGCAGTGTGGTACGAGGATCCTTAAAACTAAACACATATATATGTCTCAGTGATTGATAAATTGTTAATTAATGTATATCTTTTCAAAATTTTGAAGAAGAAAATGTTCTTCTGTAAAAAATCTTACACTTAAATATATATTAAGTGACTTACCCGTCTATAAGCCTTTCTGATTTCATCATGAGTGGCCTCCTTCTTCAGACCAAGCAACTCGTACAGCGAGTTCCCGGACTTCCTGCCAAAAGACAGAACGAAATTGATTTTAGTTTAATTTGTAGTCATCAATATTATATTTCAGAGCAACTTATTTATGGCAAGTTAAAATATTGTATGGCCAACTTTACTGTTCAGTTGAATACTGTCCAGGTACTACCAATTACTGCCTGCCTATATATATGTAGCGGAACTGGACTGGGTCGAAAGTCGGCGACCAGATAGCTCAATTGGTAGAGCATCCGTCTAGAGTTCGGAGGGTCCCGGTTCGAACCCCGGTCTGGCCGTGCATTTTTCCTCTCCTGTTACATATATATTTGAATATGAATGTTGGTCCCTTCAAAACGATTGCAATAAAAATCACATGTTCATTTATTACAACGAACCCTTCACAATATGAAAAGTGTCCAATTCATTTCAATGAAGCGCAACAATAAACCTTGTAAAATTTTAAAGCCATTCGGATCGATATGGTAGGCAATCATCCGATGTAATCAAATGATAATTTCCCATAAGTTAGAATGTAGAAAACCTATGAAGTTATCATAGGATGGTCAGGTGGCACAAGGATATATAGTGCATTTGCTTTTCACCTCGATCAGATGTAAAAAGGTATGGGGGTAACCTGCTGACCACAAGGGTTTTCTTCAGGTGCTCTGGTTTCCTCCCACATTAAGACCCCCCCCCCCCCCAAACACATGCACACAAACACACACACTAACATCTGGGCCAACAAGAGTGATTAATATAAGTTGAAATAACTTGTTTCATAATAGTTGTAAAATAAATAAAGTTTACATTAAACCTATGAAGCTGAATTTGGTTGTCATTATTAACTAAACAACAGGTATTGTAATAATATGAATTGTCAATGGGCACACGAACCATACAACTACACTGGCACTGCCAGTACTCCGCACGGAGCTTCAGCAAAAAGTATTTAACAGGAAGTCAAGATAAAAAAGTACTATTCTGACATTAGGTACAGGGATACTATACCCTGTATATTACCAGTCTGAATAAGCATGGAGAATAGTAGGTACAGGGATACTATACCCTGTATAATACCAGTCTGAATAAGCACAGAGAATAGAAAAAGGTGCACTGCCAGCACGATATAGAACATAAATAAGATTGCTACTATATATGTAACCAAATTTATTTTTATTTTGAAGGAGCGAAGGAGATAGGAAAGGAGATACCATATTTTCCTGATAGCGCACAAGACACTTAAAAAATTGGCTTAAAGTGAAGTGCTTATTTTGGTTTATAAAATGTTAGATAGGATAGAAAAGTTGTGCAACTTCAACGTTTGTTATCACCACAGTACATTAGAACATTCCAGTGTACTGGCCAGAGGAAGTCCTCGAGTCATGATCACCAGACTTTTATCTCGGCTTTAAAGTATAAGTACTATTAATCATTGGGCGGGCCTGGTCAGGACTGGGAGGGGGACAGCTAGTGTCTTTATAATTTCAATTCCTCCCGAAAAAAAGGGAGGTGGCACTTTAGGGGAGAGAGCGCGCTCAAGGTGCTAATTACGGTAATTACAGTAGTCAGTTATTTTGGACTACCAGGGAGGAAAGGTAAATTATGCAAAATACAAAATATGGCTTGCATGAATCAAAACACACAATTTTATGACAAGAGGCCCATAGGACCTGGAACGGTTAAACTGTATCATGTTGCAAGGCCAGGGTTGACATGAATGAACAGTTTGCACTAATATAACCTAGTTAAAACAATGGCTAGCCTAAAAGACACAATCCTTTTGTCGGTTTTTGTTTTACAGCCAAGTATCAACCATTCAAGTAATATTATGTCAATGCAAGGCCACATTCAATATCAGGTTTTAATTTGAATAAAATTAGTTAGTAGAACATCATATGTTGATTCATTGACATCACAGGAAAGCATGTGATTTGTATGATGCATGTTCTGTTCTCCATTGTAACACTTTTACATTGATTTTCTAGGATGGTTGATTGTAATTATCATGTTTATCTAACACTCATTAGTTAATTTCCAAATTCTAAAAGACCCTCGGTAAACCTCATGTCTTTATACAATGTGAAAATTAACTAACTCGAGTTAGACAAACCTGATATCTAAATTGCAACTTGTTGGAAAACCTCTATATCTTGTTACATGTGAAAAACATAAAAGTTCACTAACATACTGGACTATACATTCCAAACTAAGGTGTAGTTTGAGTATGTAGCTATTTATACACTGAAGACTGGGTCACGTCTTTGAAAAGTCAGTTCACCGTGACGTATCTATTGAATTCATACATAAAGGGACGGGCAGACTTTTACTTAGGTTGGTTCTATCCTCCAGAGTATTAATATAATAATTCTGGATTTATATACAGATATTCAATACTGTGGCTTACACAGTTTTCTTTAAGAAGATTGTTTCACATTTTAATTATATTACTACCGTAGACATTCTAAACGATTTCTAAAGGATCCCTGTCCCACAGCACTGTGGTTTTTTGTATACAGTTCTAACATTTACACATAATTATCTTACTATCGTTTTGTACATAATTGGGCCAGGACATTTCTGTGAACCCGGAAGCTCAATCAGAATTGAATCCAGGTCTACCTTTACTATTTTTTTTTATTTTTATTCAGAACACTGTTGATGATCATATTTTGTTAATATTTCATCCTTATTATCTTTTCATAAAATTCACGCAAAGTATGGTTGACTATTCAGAAATGATTTATCGCAGCTATATATATAGTCATGCTGCAAAATATTGTGATTCTTACTTTAAGTGTTTGGCAGCGGTACAGGGATCCTTAAATATTTTTGTTTACATCTTTTAATAATGCCGATATCCTTTTCTGAATTGTGAACAGTCTATATCATATCCATCCTTTGACCCATTCATCCCTAAACTCAAATTTGAACCTTACCAAATCAAAGTCTGGGCAAGTCCAGTTTAAATATGTAGGGGTGAATGAGTTAATGCCTGTATTTCAGTGTCTGTAGCCCTAGTATCTTTAAACATTTAAGGTAGAGCTTGATTACTTTTGTAGTCCATGTTCAGGAACTCTTTTTGTGACTCATTGCAATTTGTTGGATGCTTTCTTTTCTAGAAGAGGTTCTAAACATTATTCTATGCAAGGCCAAATAACACAAATCTTGTGTTTCCGCTTACCCTTCCTACATGTACCCTAGATTTTTGTGCCTATACCCTAAAGGTTTTATCGGCATTTGTAATGATACGCACTGTTAAAGTCAAAATTCCTGCTCTATATATAAACAAAGTACATATTTTCCAAAGTAAAATAAAATGCCTACCTACCTACCATAATATTTTTTAGGAGGATGATAGTAGAAACGAGATATTATATTTTTTGGCCTCAACCTATTGATGCACCTTGGGTGATTAATTTGAGTCAATCAGATGTTGTTACAATGTGTCTAATACACTGTACTTTTAACTGAACAAACGTAATTATGTTCAGTCTGATAAAAAAAAATGCTGTCTAGACGTACATGTATACCAGATTGAGCAGTGTAACATTTGTTTATATAATTAGGAGCAGCCATTTTATCAACGAAGATCGATATATTGCATAATTATGTAATATACATGATTCTGCATGAGGATAAATTTAGAAGTGTGCACAATTCACCTATACATGCACTGTCAAAAAAATATTGCACATCATCTGCACATGGACAAAAAAATAATATAAAAATTATTTGAATTTTACCCGAAAAACATAAGAATTTATACCCCATTTAGATACACACTGTGACATTAATGTGCAATTTTGCTTGATACACTTTTTATCTTGTTAGATATACGGGATTTTACTCCTAACCCAGTCTGTTTTGTCATCTGCAGTCAAATACATGAAAGTGTCACATGAAGATTGCTTTGTCTTTTAAATCCTATTTAAATGACTTTTATTGAGAAAAAAATAGGGGGAAAATAATTTACCATCTCACGAAAACAGACATCACATAAAAAAACGAATATCAGTTTCAATTATAAATGAATTATAGAAATTGTGCAGTTAAAAAAATGTTTTGATTAATAAAAGTTGACACTGATCAACAAAACATACTTTAAAATACAGATTCGAAACATTTGTATAATGATGGGCCACAGTGGATATATTTATTTTCTTATTTTTTTTTAGTTCTCTTTCCTTGAACACTAAATTACAGTACCTGTAGCTATAGGTGCTCCAAAACACATACAAGGTATACGTACCAGCCACTCTAGTTAATTACTTTTTGTAGGACAATTTTTGTTGTATATATTTTTTTAACTGAGTTTTCAGTTTCTAGTAATTTATTTCCATTCATGTTAATCACAATTCTCACTGTTAATAGCTAGGTAAATATATTTCCCTCAGTCAATATACATATAATTTAAACAGTAGTCTCAAGTGGAGATAGTGAAAGTACCGGTGCAATGAATGCTAATTAGGGTTGCTAATTTAATCAATGAATTATATTGTCAAACCAATATAAGAATACATAACATTATTGCGAATTATGCTTTCAGTAGAATGAAAATATATACGATATAAATAAAATCGCCATAGAATTTCTGTTGATCATCATCCTTACTCACAGATGAAGCAGTGAAATATGGACAGTCAATTGATCAGGTTATATTTGGCAGTACGGGAACTACTGTACTAAACAAGCACCTGCTCCAACTATATTGTGACATGAGTCTTGAGATGCGTTTGGATGGTAACAGAATCGTTCCTATTTACTATAATACTTACGAATACGCTCTAGGCCTACTCATCTTGATTTCCTTTCTGTTACAGAAAGCCGGTCACTTGCATTCCATTTTGTAATAATTATAATTTATCGATAACTGAGCACAGTGACATCTAGTGGATCTTTATCTTCCCGATGCTTTGTTTTGAAAGCCAATCTATCAAACGCTCAAATGAACCTTAAATGTGCCGCACACGTGAGCAATGTATTATATTTTAATATAACCAATCTAAATTGATGAACAAAATTATGCCAATTTAACCCTTAAATTAAATCGTAATGGCTGTCAATATCTCAACTTTATCTTAATGTTGGATCGTAAATAAAATAGATAAAATGCGGGTGTGGTCACAATCCGGACTTTCATGTCTAAAATTAGACAACCCGGGTTAACTTCCGCTTTTTAAAAGACACGCGATGAGTACCGGTTCAGTTCCAAACTTGCTTTGTTTTAGCTATATATTATTTATTTTTGTTGCTTTATTATGTCCAAGAGATGTAGCTGCTGATGGTGTATTGGGTTGTGGTGGATTTGTCAGGTCAGATGTCGACATTAACTTTTCTTTGGTCGAGGTAGGTTACGCCCTCCCCCCCTCCACATTAGACATAAGCCCATTTTTTGACCCCACATCTACCCTAAATGTCCAAAATAATCTTCAAATCGTTGTGTTTCTTACATTCCTATATGGCGAAGTTATTCATTAAACTGATCGTGAGCATGAACTGTACATTACAGGCATCTGAATTTGTTATGTATGTACTATTTTCTATGCATTTTATTCATGTTTTGTCGTAATAATAGCTCTACAGAGCTAATGTTAATTGTTTAACATGTGCGACTCTAAATACATCTTTTTGTATCTTGTAATGTACGTGTAGATAAATGTTTAAAAAATATTTTTTTGTCACCCAGTTACTCTACACAATAGAAGAGTAAATACTGTTTCATGTTTTCCCTTTAACATACCAAATGCAGATGAATGTATATATTCTAATGAGTGTAAAAATTAAATTTTACAATAATGATGCAAGTACTTTTATAATCTGTCTGATTTTATATAATGTATAACTAGTTCTAACATAATACATTCAACACCCCAGATATCATTTAGGGGAGGGTATACAATACGACCAACATACCCTCCAATACACTTATACTGGAACTAATAAACAACACTTAGATACATAATAATATTGATGTAACCTGTTCCAGGTGAAGCTGTACACTCCTCATGGCAGCATTAAGTATCAGACGGACTGTGCCCCAAACACAGGCTATTATCTCATTCCTCTGTACGAGAAGGGAGATTTCGTCCTCAAGGTGGAACCACCGGCAGGATGGAGTTTTGGTAACTACCAACTTTACTGAAAATTATATCTCCATATGGACAATAACGTGTGGCAGATTTTAATTGTGCATAGGATCACAGTCGCCTTCTACATATTGCTTTGTACTAGAGGGAATTTCCCTTTAGCTCAATCGATAGAGCAGCAGGCTGGGAAGCTGAGGGTTGCTGGTTCGATCCCTGGTGGGAGCACACTATTCTTTTTCCTGTTACAAATGGTGTCTGTGACCCTTCCTGTGGTGACAGGAAGTGAAAACCTTGGATGAGATATTCAAGGGCGAACACATTTAAAAAGGGAGGAATAGTGATTTCAGTTGTACATAGTATCGTGGTCGCTTTCTAGCAGGGAATTTCCCTTTAGTTCAATCGGTAGAGCGGCAGACTGGGAGCTTTAGACTGTCTGTGACGCTAGGTTCTCTTTTTAATTATTAATTATAAGGACTGTTATATAACATGTGTAAAAAAATCTAAACTTGTATGCATGCATGACTGCCATGTTGAACCATTGACTTTTCCATATCTATATATTGACACAGTCCATGATTGGCTTACATATTACATGCATATGAAAGCACATAAACAAATAATATTTAGATGAATTCATATCATGAAAACAATAACATGTCTGGCCAGTTCCTTGGGAACAGGTTTATTGAACGTTAATTGATCTTGTAGTCTGCATATTTTTCCGATTTCCAGCTCTGGTCGATATTTTGGGAAAGTGTTTTTTTATTTTTCTTATGAAAAAGGATTCATTGGTTTATTGAATTCATTGTTTCATCAATGTATATATGCTAATTGTATTAATTATATATCTATGTACTGTAAAGCGCTTTAGAGTGGCTTATGTTAGCTAGATAGGGCGCTATATCAAATGCTGTATATTAGGTATATTATTGATTTAGCCAGAGAATGGTTTACTAAATGCTGACTTGTAATGTATAGCCATACAATGTATTTTGCTAAAGCAAGGTTACTCTTTTACTTTGATCGGCTAGGTAGAATTTCTCTTTAGCTCATTCAGCAGAGGGTGAGACCAGGTTCGACCCTTAGCGAAGGCATTGAAAGAAAAATGACATCTATTACTTTGGTGCCCATGTAGGGATTCAGAAGAAAAAAAAAGAAAAACCTACTCAGCAATACTTTCACAATAATCGCTAGGCTTGGGACAAGTTCTCTTCTGTAGTGGGAGTGTGTCACCCTGGTACAAAATAATACCTGCTTCCTACAGGCTCGGCTTCAGAAGAATTTCTCTTTTAACTCATTTGGTAGAGCTTAAGACTAGTAAACCAGAGGTCCAGAGTTCGACTCCTAGCAGAGGCATTGAGAAAAATAATGACCTGTTACAAAAATTGTATTTAAATCTTATTTTGAATTACCTTGTTTGTCACAGAACCAGAAAGTGTGTCCCTCAAAGTAGATGGCAGCACAGATCACTGCAGTCTTGGTGAAGACATCAACTTTCGTTTCACAGGCTTTTCTATATTTGGAAAGGTAGGTATACAGTTCTATGAGAGAGTGTAAAATCTGTTTTTTTCGCTCCATCCTAATAATTCTTTCCCAGTTTCAACTTTCACAGTCATGTCACCATCATTATTTTAATTTAGTGATGTTTACTGTGTAAATGTGCATTGATATACTGTATACAGGGAAATTTTCCATGCAGTTTAATTTTCGCCTTTTTCACCCTCTGTGGTGGGAGTGAATTTATCATAAAAGCAAATATAAGTAGACAACATAATATACATAGCAATGAAATGTTAAGGGTGTAATTAACACTGAGCAAAAAAGTGGGGTTTTTTTAATGGGCGAAGGGCTGAAGTTTGTCTTGGTGAATATTTCCCAGTATTCAGTAGTAAAGTTTTCTAGCAAACATGAATCAAATCACTCTCCTAATAACTGATTCAAATTCTTTATAAGTGAAACTGTAGCTATTTCTTACGCTTCTACGACATAGTTGAGGAGTTGTCAAGTGTTTGTCTTATCTGTCTGTCGGTGCAACATCTTCGACTTTTGTGTTTAGCTCCATTACCCCAAGAAAGTGAAGTCCAATAGTAAGCAAACTACATTTATGGAAACATCTTGAGGATTACTACACCAATATGTCAAATGTAGGTCATTGTGACCTATTTTTGCTGATTGTTTTAATGACATTAGTTATCTTATTGCGTTTAGCTCCATTACCCCAAGAAAGTGATGTCCAATAGTAAGCAAACTACATTTATGGAACTTTCCTGAGGATTACTACACCAATATGTCAAATGTAGGTCACTGTGACCTATTTTTGCTGATTGTTTTAATGACATTAGTTATCTTAATGCGTTTAGCTCCATTTCTATGGTTAAAGGTCTGTATTTAGTTCCATTTCAGGTGACAGCAGAGACATACAGATGTTTCACAAATTTTAGATATACAATATATATATTAATTAATTCAATTGTTTCCAAAATCACTATTGTTTTTGGTTTGTTTGCATTTTACGTCCTATTAACAGCTATGGTCATTTAAGGATGTGCCAGGTTTTGGTGGTGGAGGAAAGTTGGAGTTCCCGGAGAAAAACCACCGACCTACGGCCAGTACCTGGCAACTGCCCCACGTAGGTCTCGAACCCGCGACCCAGTAGTGGGGGGCTATAGTGGTAGCAGAATGTCAGACGCCTTTAACACTTGGCCACCGCTGCCCCACATTTGTGTGTTTATTGTTCATGTCAGTGATATTCAGACAAACAAAATTGTGATTAACCTAAAGAAAAGGAAGTTGACATATAAATGACTTTGTTCCTGTCCCTAGGTGGTGAGTAAAGGTCAGGACAAGGGACCAACTGGGATCAATGTTATATTGAGGAAGCAGGGCTCCAGTGAAACTCTACTAACAACTGTCACAGGGGAGGATGGAAAGTAAGTAATTTAATATCATCATTTTATTTATTGTTGTTTAATTTTACTTAACTTAGATGTTTTTGCCTCAAAGATCAAAAGATATAATTGAAGCTTGTATTTGATTTTGCAAAAAAAAAACTCCAAGCAGAGTCGCTACTACATTGTATAAGAGATTTGCAAAGAAATATATATAATGTTCTTGCCTTTTTAATCAATTAAAAAGAATAAATGTCCATATGAAGTAGGTAAATATTGAAAAAATATGATCTAACGACCAACTTCCAAACTTGCAGCTTTCACCTTTCGATTCACAGGGCCTGAAGAGCCCTTTGAAGGATGAAAGCCTAGTTTTGAAGTTGGTCTATCTTATTTTTTCCCTACATATATATATATTGAGTTCACGAAATCAGTGTATATATCATTATGTATCATTCAGGTTAAAATATATATTCATGGCTGTCTATATTCCAGGAATATTTTTTTTTGCTGTCGTTTATTTTCTTCTTCACAATGGATTCTGTCCCCAGGCCGAGACATACCAAAGTCCTTAAAAATGGTAGTTGTTATTCCCTGCTTAACATTCAGCATTTAGGGAAATGGCAATAATTGGTTCACCCATTGTCAGTATAATGTGACTGGGCGGAATGCTGTGCTGGGTGCCTTCAGAAAATTAGTAGAAAATGAAATAAAAATAAATAAAAATGGCAACTTTGGGCAAAAAGGGATTTTACTGTTGAAAGGTGAAAATTTGGCCGGGCGAACATTTTCTGGTAAACTGTATACAGTATTATTGAAAAGTTTTGATGATAATTACAGGTATACGTTTGCTGGAGTTTTACCAGGAGAGTATGATGTAAAAGCATCACAGTCCGAAGACTTCAACTTCCTACAGGTAAGTGTCACAAGATGGTCATAAGTGTCACATGATAGTCATGTGATAGTGTTTTACAACAAAAATATCACATGATATCAGTTTGAAAATTAGGAATATATTACATAGGCAAAACTTCTAATTATTCTTTCAGCTATGTCAGAAATATTGGACATCAAAGGCATTCTGATTGGAAAAGTGGCCATAGTATAAAAGCCATTTCTGCTTTGAAATATAAAAGTAACAGTTGGACTTGAATTTTTTTCAGGCCGAGGCTAAAGTGACAGTTACCAATGACAACACCAACACAGGAAACAGTATCGTCATTGCTGGTTATAAAGTCAAGGTATGTTTATACTTTGTATGGACGTTTTATTGTTGGTTAATCTTCTAATCATGACGTCAAGTAACAAAGCTCTGCGACGTCATCTTCAAATTGTGACGTCATAGTTCATGGCAATTTGTTTCCACAATCGGAAACAGGAATAATGCATTACCAAGAAAAACGTATGGTTCTCTAGGTATAATATCTGAACGTTGTGGGAGAAAAAGGTCCCGAAACTCCTGATGGTTGGTTATATTATCATATTATCTAACTCGAGTTAGTTAATATTCAAATTGTTTAAAGACACAAGGTTTGCTGAGTGTCGTTTACAATTTGAAAATTAATTAACGAGAGTTAGATAAACATGACATTATTATCACTCTTTGGGGAACCCCTCTATATACTTTTCCTAGTTTTAATACAATATGTTATACAAATAGGTTTTGTGGACATGAATTAGACATTATACAATTCTTAACTTTTTTAAGGGTTACACCTGAAAACAGAGGACATTCCGAGATACCAAAGGCTGCAGGAATATGGTTTCCTTCTTTAATATAATTAAATATTTTTACAAAACAAATTGCTTTCTGTTTTAGATTCAACTGATGACATTTTCTATGTTTACAGGGAGCTGTACAGAGCGAAGGAGAGCCAATCAAGGGAGTTAATTTTGTGCTGTTTTCCTCTAGTTTTAAGAAAGAGGTGAGTCAACTTGATACAAATTCAGTATTTGAAGTTAAAAATTATCCAATGTCAGTCATTTTGACATGAAGGAAAAACAATGTTTTTGTTTTTTGTTTTCTTTTATATATGTTGTAATAATGCAAAATAATGGAGTCATGATTTCAAGGTGGTATACAAAAAAAACAGAGGTCACACCATTAATCACACAGGACATCTTCATTTTTGCAGAACAACCGGTTTGTCTGTTTTTAAATGTAACATTTTCGGGTATCCTGGGCGGACCTGCAATTGCTTATGCAGGTCTTGGCCTGAAAGGCTTGCTCAAGGTTGGCCTGAAAGGCTTGCTCAAGGTTGGCCTGAAAGGCTTGCTCAAGGTTGGCCTGAAAGCATAATCAAATTATTGGGTCTTACCTTATTTCATAAATGAACAACTGTGTTTTGATCACGATAAACAAGAGTGTCCATGCTTTATTTGTGGGCAGTATCATAAATGATAATTGACCATATTCGACCATACTTTTACTTCTGTAAAGAATATTCATTCACCAGCATCCCTTGGCTTAAAAGAAACAGAACAAGTTTTTCCTTGTCGATTGCAATTCAGCAAAATATGAATTCAATAAAGGTCACTCAGAATTTCATATTTTTTTTAACAAAAAAGGGACTAGTCTAAATTAGTAATGTTATTGGTGTAATTTAAATATTTTTGTGTTTTGTAGGACATCACAGGATGTGAGAAAAGCCCCCTGAAAGGGTTCACCACAACCGACAATACCTCTCCTTTGTGTTACACATCGTCCAGTACAGATGGAAGCTTCACCTTTCCAGCTCTACCCGTTGGGAAATTTTACATTGTATGTACCATACACTGTCTTATTCATCGCTTTATAGTATTTCTACATTGTGTATATGTATATATTGCTGTCCCAGTCCTATATTTTATCATCTCGATAGTGTGGCCATTATTGTGTTCTACTTACAAGTTTTACTCGTAACTTAGTGTTACTTCATTTCAAAGGTGTTTAAATACTTTGTGAAAGAAAAATTGATTTGAAATAACTAAATATGAATTAATCATATATGTTTCCAATTTGAAGCAAAATCTTTATACTAATAGGTAAAAAGAAGTAAACAAAAAAGCAATAAATTAATGTAGGATTTGGTTTGGTTTGTTTGTGCCTTACATCGTAACAGTTATGGTCATTTAAGGACGTGTCAGGTTTTGGTGGTGGAGGAAAACTGGACTAGAAAAACCACCAGTCTGCGGCTAGTACCTAGCTACTATCCAACGTAGGCCTTGAACCCGCGACCCAGTGGTGAAGGGCTAGTGGTAGCAGAATGTCAGACGCCTTAACCACTCGGTCAGCCACCGCAGCCCAGCAAAATTAGAAATCTTTGTTTATATAATGGTTGTATTATGGGTCATTGTAGTCAGTTGACTTTAATATAGTTTTTTTCTTCCACTGTTGATTATTTTTTATTTATTTTTTATTTTTGACAGATTCCATTCTACAAAGGAGAGCACATCAGATTTGACGTTTTACCAGGGCGACTAGATATAGAGGTTCAACATGGACCGGTCACTCTCAAGGTCAGTGTCAAGGTCACTCAAGGTCATAACGCCCAATTAGTTTCATGGTCATTATACAGATATGTTAGTGTTGTCAGTCGGTTCCACAAAGAACTTTAGTCTTTTTCTAGATGTTTATGCTGTGGCTGCCGTTTGAAAAACAAGAAATATGGGGATGACAGGTGGGAGAGCATGTCAACAGTAACTGCTATGACAGTTTGAAATAAGCCCCAGATTTACCTCGCTAAATCAGCACTTCTTATTCCATATTGTAACAATGACAATGTTACTGGATCAAAAGTAGGAAGTTGAAATCAAAGTTTCAATATACATTCAACCTCTGAAAAAGCTACAGTCCAGACAATCGTAAATTGTACATCCTATAATATAAAGGAATGAAATGCATGTCAGGATCTATAAAAATTTTAATTTGTTTACCTGCAAAATTTGTTTTTCTTGACTTTTTTTTTTTGGCAGGAAACTGTTCAGATTTGTGAGGTTTGACTTGTAGCTTTATGCATCGTATAAAGGGCACAACAATTTGTTAATCCCTGTAAATAACCAAGATTGAATATTTAACATAGAATTGTGTTGTGTTTTAGGAGATATTCCAGGTGGAGGGGTTCTCTGTCAGTGGTCGTGTCCTCACCAAAGCCGGGGTAAGTCTGACACAACAAAGTTCTGACATTGCTTTCTATTTTTCTTGTATACGATTGAGCTTACAGCTATAACATGTTATGACTGACTTTCCTGTAAACCATATTAAGTAACTCATTCCACTTAAGTGATAACTGTTGTTGTTTTCTGAAAATTATTGAAGTTTAGCCATAATAATTATTTTTCTTCAGTGGTAGTTATTAATATTAATTAGTGATAAGTATTGCTTTTATTTTAATTTTAGAAATACATTGTTTCTCGATTAACTTGTTTTAAACGAGTGATACAGTTTTTGCAATAAAAGTATTAACTCTTTGTATTTCTTTGAATAAGTAACATTTACATTACTGTTAATCCTTTACATTTAGCAAGTACTGTGAAATCACTAGTTTTTTGTGGGTTTTTAATTTCGTTTATTTGTAGGTAATTTTCTTCCACAAATTCATAGGTCCATGAAGTAATAACAAGTCCATTATAAAGCAATTCTCTGTTTGAGTAGGTACTCGTATTCCACGAATTCATGTACCCTCGAAATGGTGTTTTGTCAGGAAACCACGAAATTGTGGCCCTGCAAAAAATTCTGATTTCACAGTAACATTTTATGAGCAATTCAAGCTATTGTTTGATTCTGATGTATGTTTGAGTCCTAAATCAAAATTTGACTGCCGTGAATATGTCCTGTGTACATTACCCCCTTTCACCCCTATGTAACTTTAGTAGACTCTACCAAGCATTGATATGGAGGGGTCCATTATGGTCTACAGTGGTGAAAGGGTTAACATGAAGCACTGACTCAATTGCTTGTGTATTGACAAACTTAACTTGTGAATACAAAAAAATTGAGGTAATTCAACTGACCTTTGGCATTGACCTTGACCTTCAGGGAGCAGGTGTGTCTGGTGCGACAGTGCTGGTGGGCGGGAAAACTGTGTCCCGGACAGAAGCAGACGGGTTGTACCACCTGGAAAACATGAAGACAGGGACATACCGCATTCAGATCCAAACCGACAATATCTATTTTGACGAGGTCACCGTTAAAATCACACCTAACACCCCAAACCTGCCGGACATCTTGGCATCAGAGTAAGTGAGAGTAGCACTGAAATTCATATTTAAATACATTTTCCGTGGCAGCTTTGTAATATTTAAAGTTGATGTTCATGATCATTATCTCTCAAGGTTCAAATCATTCCAGATGTTTGGTCAAAGGGCATTTATAGGTCACCTGAAACAAACTCACTGCCGACCAATTGATTGGGATCTCCTTTTGTTTGTCGTCATGTTTAAAAAAAGAAACGGTCATTTGTCAACAATTCACATTTGGTAACACTTCTCAAAAATGCTGAACCTTTTTTTATGAAAGTTTGTCGGAAGCTTTCATAGCTGAAGACTTAACCAAAATTGAAAGTTACATGGATCCCAAGGGCCCTAAGGGGCTTAGACTAAAGGGGTCATATTGGCTAAAATTTCAACAGTTTTTCTTCTCTAGACCCAGATATGCTAGAATCAAATCATCTTTATTGAAAGATTCTATGATGAACATGATTTATCAGAATTTCGTTACACGTGAATCATCCATTTTCCCCTTAGGAGAGGATACAGTGATTGAGTGCAGGAGGGTGGGCTATACTGCTTTCGGAGCTATCTTCTCTAAACTAAGGGATGAATATGAATCATATTTTGTTGGATGCATTATTACTTGGTGGGACTTCAAATTTTGCCAGTTAAAGGGCTGACCCCCGGAAGGGGTTCAGGGGCAGGGCCAAAAAAAAAAGTTTAACTTGGAAATTATGAAGACCCCAATGCCATATACAGTTGCTGAGTATAAATAATTTTATCTTTGACTTATTTATGTATGTATAGGAAATATTGTCAAAAGCGTATTTCTGTATGAACTTTTTGCACAGTGGGCCACACCTTAACTAAAAGATTCCAAAACAATAAGTAATCTCTTAAAATTAAAAAAAATTAGGGTTGACCATGTCAGTACCCTTAGTCTATCGCGATACAGGCAAATAAAACAATTCAAAAGATACATAAGAAAGTATCACGATACGATACGGTGTGATATATTGTTGCAGCCCTAGGTTGTACTGTTTGTAAGAAAGTTCAAGGGGAATAGGATATCACCCGTACGTAGGTATGTATGTACATATGTTGCACTCATTGTCATCGCTCTAGCGACTTCATTTTTCAACGGAGTTTCATGAAACTTCATACAAGTGTTTAGTATGGCAATGCCTTGAACAAGTTCACATTTCAGATTTCTACGTTGAAGGTCAAGGTCACTATTATTATTTTTAGAAAAAAACTTTGTCAGCGCTCTTGCGACTTCATTCCTCAACAGAATTTCATGAAACTTTGTATCACTTGTGATTCCTTGCTACAGCTTTAAGATGTGCGGTAAGATCGTGATAAGCCAGCTCCCGGAAACTCTGAGGCAGGTCACCAGTCAGAGACGAATCATCATCATCCCGCAGAGCAAAAACATGGACGCTTCCTCTGCCAAGGCCGATGCTGACGGGAACTTCTGTGCCAAGGTCAAACCTGGCATCCATGTTGTACAGGTACATACAGAGATTTTGTGTTATTTATGAAATGACTAGGATTATTTTGGGGGTTATACTGTATAAACTGAGGTGCACATAGTTTTTTCGGTATGTATCTTATAACCCAAAAAATAATCCTACAGTCCAAATTATATAGCCAAACATTGCATTATATGACGTCATCATTTTTTGTGTTGCCTGGTTTTTTTTAGGTTATAAAAAGAACTGAAAAATTCTAGCATTGGGGGAATAGACAACAGTTAATTATTTTTTGATCACCTGAGAAGTCTTAAAGTCACAAAGCCACTCGCAACTATCATTTTATAGGTTAATCGGCTTTTAAAAAGCCATATTTCGATTGTATGTACATTGTATTGGTTGTTTTTGTCACTTTACAACAACAAATAACATTATTGTATTACAAATGAGGTGACAGTTAAACCCCTTTGGCCTCTTGTTTGTTCAATTTCAATATCCTGTAGGTAAAATGTGCATCCTGATATTGCTGAATGAATCACTTTTTGTAATAAAAAAAAATTGATTTGATATTTTATCTGTGTTGTAGGTCCACATGACTGAAGAAGAAAAGGCAGCAGGTCTGTCCATTGTCCCGAGTGAAAAGACGGTCACTGTTACGGACAAACCAGTTATGGACGTCACTTTCTCACAGTTCCAGGCCAAGGTCACAGGCACAGTGATATGTCTGGGTAAGGTCAAGGTCGAAAACAAAGGTCATATACCTTAAAAGGGTTCATAACTAGGTCACAGACTTAATGTTTACCAAAATGAAGCCAAGGTCTGAATAACAATAATGAATATTCATTAATGCATATCATTTTGTTTAATTTCATGAATATTCAGTGACAATAATACATATTCATTAATGCATATCATTTTGTTTAATTTCATGAATATTCAGCTGATATTAGACAAAGGCTTCAACATCAGTGAAGAAGGCTGCTAGAAGGCAAAAATATTGGGACTTTGAGTGACATTTGCTGTATTGATCTTTTCTCTCCAATGGAAATCAACTGTCATTTATTATATTGCTGAAATGTCAGTTTTATGATAAATAAATAAAAACAGATCATAGGAATATCATAATTGATAGTACTTCTAACTGCACTTTGATTTGAGCAGTACTCCTTATCAAGGAGATACATGTTAAATATTGGCTTGCTTGTAAAGTGACATGAGTTACTTTGTATAAACATATTAAAATCTGGTCAATCTATACAATGATGAATTTGTATCATTTATTGCAGAAAAGTGTGGCCCTGTAGAAATTTCCTTAGAAAGTGACAGACGAGGAGAAGTGAAGCAAATAACACAGGTAAGGTCAGAGGTCAAATACAGGTGAAAGGTCAGAGAGGTAAAACACAGGTGAGTCAAATGCATGCAGGTAAAGGTTAGAGGACAAACATGTAACATGTTACATCAGAGGGGTAAAACACTTATAAAGGTCAGAGAGGTCAAACACGGGTGAAGTCAAACACAGGTAAATGTCAGAGGACAAACATGTAAAGATCAGAGGGGTAAAACACTTATAAAGGTCAGAGAGGTCAAACACAGGTGAAGTCAAACACGGGTAAAGGTCAGAGGACAAACATGTACAGATTAGAGAGGTCAAACACTGATGAAGGCCAGAGATCTAGAGGTCAAACAGACTAAATGTCACAGAATGAATATGTGGAGGTCAAACACTGGTAAAAGTCAAAAAGTGATTATGTGAAGGTCAAAAAGAGAGGTCAAACGTGTATAGGTTAAAGAGTGACCGTGTGAAGGTGAAACTCAGTCAAAAGTAAAAGAGTGGTGTAGGAAAAGCAAGAAACACTTTCCATTCTAGATTTCTGATTCCCATGTGTTCAGATTACAACTTGACCACAGTTCCTTAGTCAGGAATAAATTCAGAAAAACAAAATTCAGTATTCATGTTTTTGATATGAATATACTTATTATTACACTTCACAGGTGAAAGAGGCTGCCAGAGGGGGAACCTTCCAGTTTGATAATGTCTTACCTGGAAAATATAAAGGTAAATATGACAAACCATATAATAGTTTTCCTAATCTGTGAAAAAAATACAAGAATCAAATAACACCATGAAAGATAAGGAACTGTATTCTCACATCAATACAGAAAAGTCACTTGTAAACTTCAGTTATTGTTCAGAATAAAATGTTCCTGAATGCTTGTTTGTATGTAGCGACATGCTCTGTTACCTTTCAGTATGAGTGACAACACCTACAAAATTTACAATCCGCAAAGAGATGTCTGCTCCTGTATAATGTGATCATGGACATTTTTGCAGTATTGAAAACCTCAGTACCAACATGATATGTTCACGCCATGATCATTCCGCTCCTTATTGGATGATACTATGGGGTCATAAAAATGACTCAGTTGGTCCCCCCCCCCCCTCATCTCTGTTCATTGATTCCTCTTCCCTTTTAACCCAGATGGATTATTTGATTTCATCACCTTCCATTTGTCTTCCCTTGCTAGCACTTTTACGGTTGTTCCAGTTTAAAGGGCCATAGTATGAAAATTCCTTATTTTACGATACATTACGATACTGTAATCCAACCGTTCTTAATTAAGTGATAATAGCCAGGTCGTACATGTATATGTTAGATGTTATTTTTGACTGAAGTTTTTGGATATACATAATAACACTGAGCTGTAATTTTGTGGCAGTGACGCTGCTGCAGGACAGCTGGTGCTGGAAGGAGAAGACACTGGATGTTGAAGTGGCTAGTGCTGACCTCTCGGGGATAGAGTTCACACAGACCGGCTACATACTCAAATGTAGCATCTCCCACGAAATCAAACTGGTAAGTACATGTACTGGGGCAGTCAAACTTTGTTGTTTCGAACTTTGCGGGACCACTGTGAAAAAATGAAAAAGTCGGAACTTTGACTTGCGAATGTTGAACATCTAACATCATTGTGATCCCATACATTTAAGACTGAATGTGATTCTTAAGTGACAAATCACAGGCTAAGAATTTTGTTCTTCAATTATAGAAAAAATAGATTTACAGTAATAAGAATTTAACAGTATATCTTGGAAGTGTTTGGTTGAACAAGATTTCCCGTCAGTGAATGATATTGGTAGTGGATACACAAAGTTAACATTATTTTTATGGCATTTCTTAAAAACTAAATTGTTTTAAAAAAAAATTTGATACAGTAGATGTGCTATTTGCTATTGAAAGCATTCAGGTGTGCAAAGAGTTTCTGTTGTCATAGAAACCAGAAGGGGTATAAGTAAATGGAGCCTTTAAAAAAAAAAAATCAGTATATCAACACTACATGATGGACTACATGAAATGGGGCTTGACCAGGATTTGAACCCTGGACCTCGGATCAAAATTGAGTCGCTCTAACCATCTGAGCGACCTGATCAGCTATAGCTTGACTGAAATATGTATATCTATGTCATCTTTTCATATTTTCCAGGATTTTGCTCATGAAAAGAAGGAGGGAACTGTTGGATCATTCCAGCTAAACAAGGGAACTAACCGATTCTGTCTGGCACAGCCGGGCGTGTACCGCCTAACTCCCGACTCCTGTCATAAGTTTGACAAAGATGTGTTCACATACGATACGTAAGTTTCTAAGCCATGTGTTTACTGCCACTCCCCGACTTTTGTCGTCGGTTTGACAAGGACCTGTTTCTTATGACAAACAAATATCTTGACAATATTTTTCGATACTTATCCTTTATTGACCAGCATTCAAATAACCAAAATAATACAGCTCAATACTACAAATAACTTAAAGAGACTGCAAGTAACCTGCTGTTTGCTTATGCAGAGCAACCCGTTTGTCTGTTTTTAAATGTAACATTTTCAAGATATAAACCCTGGCGGACCTGCAAATATTTTGCAGGCCTTGCCAGGCTTTGTCAAGGCTTGTCTGAAACCAGCTTCAAATTGCTAGGTCCGACCATATTTCTTATACGAACAACTCTGGCCCAACTTTTTCAATCATTTGGATCACAATAGGCGAAAGCAGCCCAGATAATACCAATGTATGTTTCTGTTTTCCAGGTCTAACCCAGAGTTACTCACCTTGGCAGCAGTGCGTCACTTGATGGAGGGCACTGTCACCACAGAGGAGCTTGCTTCAGATATCCAAATCACTGTTGTGTAAGTTCATCACCATCCATTCACATACATTCATTTTATGTCTCAAACTTTTGCTGAAATTTTAAGAATTTCTAGTGTTTCTCAACTCTAGGGCCGATAATTTGTATATCTTTAGTCTGATATTAGTTCTAATTCGATCATCGTTAGTTTGTTGTTTGTCACTGTAGATCATCACAAGTCCATTGTTTGTCATAAATATTGTAGTTCAATAATTCTATAATGAGACCTTCATAATTCCAGTCAGTGACTTGTGTAGGTCCGTTGTGACATGTGTACTTCATTTGTGACTTGTGTTCTTCATTTGTGACATGTGTACTTCATTTGTGACTTGTGGACTTCATTTGTGACTTGTGTACTTCCATTTGTGTCCTGTGTAATTCATTTGTGACCTGTGTACTACATTTGTTACTGGTGTACTTCATTTGTGACCTGTGTACTTCATTTGTTACCTGTGTACTTCATTTGTGACTTATGTAATTCGTTTGTGACCTGTGTAATTCATTTGTGACATGTGTACTTCATTTGTGACTTGTGTTCTTCATTTGTGACATGTGTACTTTATTTGTTACCTGTGTACTTCATTTGTGACTTGTGTACTTTATTTGTGACTTTGTGTACTTCATTTGTGACTTGTGGACTTCATTTGTGACTTTGTGTACCTCATTTGTGACTTGTGTACTTCATTTGTGACCTGTGTACTTCATTTGTGACCTGTTCACTTCATTTGTGACTTTGGGTACTACATTTGTGACTTTGTGTACTTCATTTGTGACTTTGTGTACTTCCATTTGTGACTTCTGTACTTCTTTTGTGACCTGTGTACATCATTTGTGACTTGTGTACTTCATTTGTGACTTGTGTACTTCCTTTGTGACTTGTGTACTTCATTTGTGACTTGTTTACTTCATTTGTGACCTGTGTACTTCATTTTTGATCTGTGTACTTCATTTTTGACCTGGGTACTTCCATTTGTGACATGTGTACTTAATTTGTGAACTGTGTACTTCATTTGTGACCTGTATCCTTCATTTGTGACTTGTGTACTTCATTTGTGAACTGTGTAATTCATTTGTGACCTGTGTACTTCATTTGTGAACTGTGTACTTCATTTGTGACCTGTGTACTTCATTTGTGACTTTGTGTACATCATTTGTGACTTTGTGTACTTCATTTGTGACTGTGTACTTCCATTTGTGACTTCTGTACTTCATTTGTGACCTGTGTACATCATTTGTGACTTGTGTACTTCATTTGTGACTTGTGTACTTTATTTGTGACCTGTGTAATTCATTTGTGACCTGTGTACTTCATTTGTGACTTTGTGTACTTCATTTGTGACTTTTGTACTTCATTTGTGACTTGTGTACTTCCTTTGTGACCTGTGGACTTCCTTTGTGACTTGTGTACTTCATTTGAGACTTCTGTACTTCATTTGTGACTTGTGTTCTTTATTTGTGACCTGTGTAATTCATTTGGGACCTGTGTACTTCCTTTGTGACTTGTGTACTTCATTTGTGCCTTGTGTACTTTATTTGTGACCTGTGTCATTCATTTGTGACCTGTGTACTTCCTTTGTGACTTGTGTACTTCATTTGAGACTTCTGTACTTCATTTGTGACTTGTGTTCTTTATTTGTGACCTGTGTAATTCATTTGGGACCTGTGTACTTCCTTTGTGACTTGTGTCCTTCATTTGTGACTTGTGTACTTCCTTTGTGACCTGTGGACTTCCTTTGTGACTTGTGTACTTTATTTGTGACCTGTGTCATTCATTTGTGACCTGTGTACTTCATTTGTGACTTATGTAATTCATTTGTGACCTGTGTACTACATTTGTTACTTGTGTACTTCATTTGTGACTGGTATCATCCATTTGTGACCTGTGTACTTCATTTGTGACTTATGTAATTGATTTGTGACCTGTGTACTTCATTTGTGACTTATGTAATTGATTTGTGACCTGTGTACTTCATTTGTGACTTATGTAATTGATTTGTGACCTGTGTACTTCATTTTTGACCTGTGTACTTCCATTGGTGACATGTGTACTTAATTTGTGAACTGTGTACTTCATTTGTGACCTGTGTACTTCATTGTTGACCGGTGTACTTCATTTTTGACCTGTGTACTTCCATTGGTGACATGTGTACTTAATTTGTGAACTGTGTACTTCATTTGTGACTTATGTAATTGATTTGTGACCTGTGTACTTCATTTGTGACTTATGTAATTGATTTGTGACCTGTGTACTTCATTTGTGACTTATGTAATTGATTTGTGACCTGTGTACTACATTTGTTACTTGTGTACTTCATTTGTGACTGGTATCATCCATTTGTGACCTGTGTACTTCATTGTTGACCGGTGTACTTCATTTTTGACCTGTGTACTTCCATTTGTGACATGTGTACTTAATTTGTGAACTGTGTAATTCATTTGTGACCTGTATAATTCATTTGTGACTTGTGTACTTCATTTGTGACTGGTGTCATCCATTTGTGACCTGTGTACTTCATTTGTGACCTGTGTACTTCATTTGTGACCTGTGTACTTCATTTGTGAACTGTGTACTTCATTTGTGACTTGTGTTCTTCATTTGTGACATGTGTACTTCATTTGTGACTGGTGTAATCCATTTGTTACTTGTGTACTTCATTTGTGACCTGTGTACTTCATTTGTGACCTGTGTACTTCATTTGTGACTTGTGTACTTCATTTGTGACCTGTGTAATTCATTTGTGACCTGTGTACTATATTTGTGACTTATGTACTTCAATTGTGACCTGTGTACTTCATTTGTGACTTGTGTTCTTCATTTGTGACATGTGTACTTTATTTGTTACCTGTGTACTTCATTTGTGACTTGTGTACTTCATTTGTGACCTGTGTACTTCATTTGTTACCTGTGTACTTCATTTGCGACCTGTGTAATTCATTTGTGACCTGTGTAATTCATTTGTGACCTGTGTACTACATTTGTTACTCGTGTACTTCATTTGTGACCTGTGTACTTCATTTGTGACCTGTGTAATTCATTTGTGACCTGTGTACTACATTTGTTACTGGTGTACTTCATTTGTGACCTGTGTACTTCATTTGTGACTTATGTAATTCATTTGTGACCTGTGTACTTCATTTGTGACCTAGGTACTACATTTGTGACCTGTGTACTTTATTTGTGACCTATGTACTCCATTGTGACTTGTATACTACATTTGTGTCCTGTGTACTTTATTTGTGACCTATGTACTCCATTGTGACTTTTGTAATTCCATTGTTACATATCCTTACAGCTCATTGGTCGAACAAGATATAGTCAACATTGGACCACTGACCACTGCCAGAAAACCACCCAGTACGGAGAAGGGGGCCAAACCTGTGACCGGGCCATTTGTCTACAAGTTCACACACTGGGCAAGGTAAGATCCCGACCAGCAACAGTAACCTCAATCTCAGCACACTCAAAAACACACGAGACATGGTCATTTTAATTCAGTGTTATTTTCTTTTTAGAATTAGGATTGGAATTGACTGCAAATATCTTTTTTGCTATTTGCTTGTGTCGCAGATCTTAATTGTACAAAGAATTACGGTCGCCTTCTAGCTTTACGCTATAGAGGATTTCCTTTTAGCTCAGTGGTAGAGCGTCCGACGAGGAAGTCTGGGATCGTGGGTTAGATCCCTCATGGAAGCACACTATTCTCTTTCCTGTTACAACCAGAAAGATTATTATTTTTGCATTGGGTTATATTTCCCTTATCATTTAGTAAGGGAGGATAAGTTTCAGTTTTGTACATTTTATTTTGTAGAACTATTAATAGGAAGACAAAAAATGGAATCAAACAAAGTATTAATTATTTGTGTTTAATCTGCTTCCAGGTCAGGAGAGAGGTTAGAAGTCAGTGCAAAATCTAAGGAGCTGCTGTTCAGTCCTAGTAAAGCAGAGATCCTGGTCCACGGAGGTGAGTTATTTCCCTTCGTGTAGCCCTGTTCGTGTCTAATTCAAGCATTGTCAATTTAAAGAAGATTACTAATAAGAAACTATTGTATTTATTATGTTCAAAAGATATTATGCAGCTTAATAAAATATTCTTACATTCTTTCAAGATGTTAATTGTTTAATATAACGTCAATGAACAAAACCATGAGAGCATGGATAAGTTAAAACTAGTGGTGTGTTCTCTTGTCTTTTCTGACCAAAAATATATTGAAAAATGTCTAAGATTTGTAAGCCCACTGGTTAATATTATACCATTTAGCTAATTATTTTGAAAATGCAAAGAACTTTTGCTAAGGTTATAATTACCGCCAGTGAGCTTCCAAAGATTTGATTGCTTTTGTTACATAATACATGTAATATGCTCATTATACAGGCCGTTTTTCGATCCTCTGTTATAACTTATGAAGGGAAGGAGATTTTGATGAAAAACGTTTTGAACATTTATACTAATTTTCCATATTGCTCTGTATACTTGCTTTCTGATCAGGTATTACTTTTATCTCTGAGTAAAACATTTGAATTGACAGCTGACTTTTGACTTTGACAGATACCTGTGTTGGGGAGGTAGTCAAGTTTACGGGAAAGCGAGGCGTGTTTATCAACGGTCAGATAAAACCAGCACTGGCTGGGGTCAGTGTGACAGTCGTCGCTAAGGATGATTCTATGGACCCAATTGTCATGGAAACCGTTGAATCAGGAACATTCAGGTAGAGAGACTTGATTACGGACGAGCCCATACTGTAGGGAGTGGTAGTGGCAGAGAACATGTACAATTGTCTGATTTTCTGTTCTGTTTTATATTTATTTTGATTTTTTTTTTTAAATCAGAACTACAAAGTAGTTAAAATGAACTTTTCCTGTTTGACATTTACAAGGAGGTAAGTGATGGAGCGTCAACAAAAGCGGATTCCGTAAATGTAAGTTTAGTTAGTTTACATGTTTTGAATGACTGGGAAGGGTTCGTCATCAGAACTAACTGATGATCCCTCTAATGACGAACCATCCTAGCCATCCGAAACATGTAAACTAATAAAATTTACATTTATGGAATCCTTGGTGTTGATGCCCAAACACTTACTCACCTGTAGTTTCCTTCCTTTGATGGAGCTTTAATAGATTTCTTCGGTATCCAACTCGGAATCCTCCACCAGTACAGCGACCGACCACTACCCTCCGGACATTTGATCTTCTCGCCCAATGATTGTATTAGTGAACCAATACCTTTATTTATTTCCACATTGTTTGACATAAAGTTTTCCTTTATTTCTTTTGAACAAATACTAGGATTCTGTATACAAATATGTGGAAACCAATGGAAAAAGTGTCAACAGCGATGTCCTGTGAACAAGTATAATTTGGTTTTTATATCATCAAAATTAAACAATTATACTGCATCACACACTCTTTGTGAAAGAAAATTGATATATTGACCTTTAAACTTTACAGTGTTGGGCCCCTTCACAGCAGTAAGGAGTATAGCGTGTCCGCCGAGAAGACGGGTTACGTACTGGTCAAGGAGGATGGACAGACTGCCTCCTTCAAGGCCTACAAACTTGGCCAGGTATCTGTACAGGTAAGTTTTGTAGCAGCCAATGAAAATATTGAGGGAAAAAATACTGCCGTGTGGCAAGCTAGCTTTTCCAGTGATGTGGTAGACCCAGCGATGTTGTATATCCTAGGGACTTGCTCAATAGTTGAGCAACATTGATTGTGGGTCAGAGGTTTGATGGTGCCCTCATGCATAATGCATTTGGTGCCAGCGACGTGACCTTGGGGTATGTTTTAAGGACAGTTTCCTGTGGATAGGGAAGGTACATTAGTGCAAAGGGAGCACCGACAAGATTCCACTAAGTCTCGGGATGTGACTTCTTGGAGGGGCAATATCGCATACGTATACGTAGCAGCCAAGGAATATAGGAGGAAAATACTGCTGGACTGGCAGCCTTGCAGTAAAACCCATTAAACTTTGACTGCATTCGTTTATCATAATCGAAAAAGATGAACCAGAGTTTTTCATTTATGAAACAAGGACGGACCTAGTAATCTGATGCTGCTTTCAGACGAGCCTTGACAAAGCCTTGCAAGGCCTGCATAAACATTTGCACGTCTGCCAGGATTTATAACCAAAAATATATCATTCAAAAACAAACAAACTGGTTGAAACAGATATGCAAAAGTGGCTTTGCTCAATATAGTTGGACAACATTGAGCGTAGACAGTAGCTTGATGTGTGCCTCGTGCATGTTACAGTATATACTGATACTACTTTCATGGTAGACCAGTCCTTATATTGAGGGCAAAATTGGGGACACATTTCTTTATAAAAGGGTATAATACAGGTCAGTCTTTTTATAGGGATTTAATAGGGCACCATACCTTCCATAGATCAGGGGTATATAGGGGATCATTCACATATAGTGATAAAAATGGTGATCTTCCCTTAGACAGGGCAAAATAGTGTACTTATCCTTCAGACAGAGGTTGAAATGGGGACCAGTTCCAATGAATTCCAAACAAAGGTAAAATACCTAAGGGACCCACATTTTAGAAGGGATTAAAAAGAAAGGGAAGGGTATTTATCAGTTAGAAGTTTCTTTAAGCATTAAGGATATGGATCAGTCCGATAGTTTGTGCCCCTTTATTAAACCACAACGATAGATATGGGGGTCTGATAAATCTAAAAGGAGGAATTTTGCTATCAGTTGAGCCTGCAATAGTATTTCCAGCCAAAGCATTGGTTCCCTATAATTATATACATTTGGATGTAAAATCCGAACGACAGTAATTGAACCGATATTTGTTGTAAAATGGTGTATGACTGTGTTTTACTTGACTCTGCAAGCCACCATTTTGGGTGAACATCTTTGCCATGTTGTTAGCTAAAATTGAAAGAAGTTTCCTAAGGCTGAAATAGTGACATGCTTACTAAAGGAATTTTCATTTCTTCAAAATCAGAGAAATGAAAAATGATGATGTGTGTAGAGTCAGTTGCTAATAACGCCATTTTGTTACCAAGGTGATGAACGAGAAAGACCAGCCCCTGTCAAACGTCCTCCTGTCACTGAGCGGGGAAAGACAGTACCGCAGCAATAACGTCACCGGCGACAATGGCACCATCAACTTTATTGGATTGGTAAGATAACTGGTGAAAGACTATATTTTTTTTGTCTTCAATATTCATTTAACATCAAAAGCTGAACAGCCCAAAGCCATGTCCTTATACGTTTTACCAAATTGAATGTACACTGGAATTTGGGAGAAGAAAATTGATAAAAAATGAAAAACCTTCATAAGAGACCACCTCTATTAAGATACCACCTGTGATAAGACTTTTTGCCCTACAAAACACCATATCGTGGGTACATGAATTTGTGGATTACGAGTACCCACTCATACAGAGAATTGCTTTATATCAAACTTGTAATTGAATTGTTGACCTTTGAATTCGTGGATGAAGATTATCCATGAAACCAAAAAAAAAAAAATTCCATTGAAATAAGTGATTTCACAGTATTTTGTCACAAATAAATAATGAAATTAATTCTGAATGAATTAGACAAGATGGATGCTATGATATTGTCCTGATGAAACAACCTCACATTTTCTATGTAGTTATTCAGCTCGCCTGGCTTTGTGCATCGTTGATTCTTCAGGGGGGAATTGTCATAATAGAATTGAAGGCAAGCAGCAAGCTATTTGAGTGGTCTCCGGGGAAAAAACCCTGACCGATTGCTAGGCTAATACATGTCCTTGAAGATTACAGAGGAGTGACACCTGACTTTGTTCAAAGCCAGTCAATTTTACCGTTATGCGACTGCAAGATTCTCTCGATGTACCTCAATGGATCAAACTAGTCTTCCTGTCTCCTCCACAAGTTGGCGCACACTGAGCCTTCGATTTTGCTATGACACATTCCAGGGGTGTAGAGAGCGAAAATGAGGGTAACCCCTGGACTATCAGGGATGGGCTTTGTTGTGGTATTCAGAAAGTATATCAAACATGTGTATGTTTTTTCCCTTATGTAGAGTCCTGGCGAGTACTACCTGCGGCCAATGATGAAAGAGTACAAGTTTGACCCTGCTTCTCAAACTATCGAAGTCATGGAAGGAACAACCAAGAAAATCACCATCAAGGGACTCCGCGTGGCATATAGGTAGGCTGAATGTTAAACACACTTTCTTCAGAGGAAATTTTGCTTTGCTGATTTTATGCCCTTTTATGGAAATAAAAAGGGGGAAACTAAATAGTTGGCAAAAGATTTATTAGCATACATTTATCGGATCAGATAGTTTCCCTTGATTTAATGACCTCAAGGATTTCTTAAAATGACCTTCATTTTATTTGATTTCATTTACGTGATTGTTTAATCTTAAGGATCCCTGTACCACTGTCGAAAACTGTAATTATACATTGGAAACTGATTTTTCTGGCATGATTATAGCGTTGAAAAATCATTTCTGAGAAGAAAACCATACCTTGCGGGACTTTTATGAAAAAAAATGATTAAGTTGAAATAATCAAATACCATGGTAACGGGGTAGACTGGAATTTGAACCCTGGAATTCAGAATGTTATACAATGTACTATCCCTCTAACTGACTGTGCTACCGGGTAAATGGTCGTGTTCAGGTCCAACTGCATTACAGTTGTATCTAAGACGATATCAAGGGGAGGTTACTGTATGTACAAAAACGGCAGTGCTGAGGGGCAGGGACCCTGAAGTGATAAAGTCTCTTGATAACTGTGGTTAATCTGATATTATATGGGGTAACAATTTTGTTGAGTTTAAATACCTTTATTTAGCAATTTTTGTTTGACAGCTACTATGGTAACCATTATTAGAGAGTATCAACTGTTATATTTGTTTGTTTGACAGTTGCTATGGTAACTTTTATTTGAGAGTATCTATGGAAATCTTTGTTTGGTAATTGCTATGGTAACCGTTATAAGAGAGGATCTATAGCAATCTTTGTCTGACAGTTGCTATGGTAACCATTATTTTTAATGGTATATATAATAATCTTTGTTTGACCTTGCTATGTGGTAACCGTTATTTGAGAATATCTATAGTGATCTTTGTTTGGTAATTGCTGTGGTAACCATTATTAGAGAGTATCTATGGTAATCTTTGTTTGGCAGTTGCTATGGTAACCATTATTTAACGGTATATATAATAATCCTTGTTTGACAGTTGCTATGGCTCTGTGACATCATTAAATGGAGAACCAGAGCAAGGCGTCATTGTGGAGGCAGTGGGCACGGATAAGTGTGGGAGTTTCCAGGAGGAGAGTAAAACCGAGCCTGACGGTTCATACAGGATACGGGGACTACAGGTAAGATATATTTACACAGGTCATACTACCTTCAGAATTAAAGTTGACTGATTTTCAATTTTAAAAGAATATGAAAACACATGTCACAAAAATATTTATACGAAACTCTTTTTCTGCTGAAAAAAATTCTTGCATTTAAACCATTTGTAGACTTTCGGTGGCAGATTGCAATGCCTTAGATCTATTGTTAAAAAAACCCACTGACAGTGATATAGTCTTAACTTAAAATGATGATTTTCTGACCTGATGCGAGGTTGCCAATATGTCAAACATTTCAAGGGTCGACCTAAGGTCACTGTTGTAAATGTCGGGGACTCAAAGGATTTTTTTTACCATCATCCTAAAAACAATACAGATTAATGAAGTTGGATAAGAGGAATCATTATGCCTGGGACAGAAATCTAGATATGTATTTTTCGTGTTTCCAGCCGAAATGTACCTACACTATTCACCTGAAGAGTGATGTTAACCGACACATCGAGAGAGCGGCACCCAAGTCACAACAGATCACGGTAAGGCTCACGATTCCCTCTTCCAATACCCTGTATACCGCTTTGAATTCGACAGTGTTATTTTCGCATCATCTTCAAAAATAAATATTCTTGTAAGTTAGAATTCATTGAAAAAAGAAAGATCTGTTGTGTCTGCTCTTTTTGTTGAAACTGGCTTGAAAAAGTCAATCTGAGCATATATTTGTCCAAGTACTAAATTAATAAATGTATGTGTAGCCCTCCCGTTCTGTTTCAATGTGCATATAACTTGGTAGAGTACAAATAATCCAATATTTCAAACAGGTACACTCTGTCTTTAGACTCGAAGTAGATCAGACAGTAAAGCCTAGAGCTGGTAACTTGACTATATTCAGGTAGATATTCCGTCTTTGCATATTGCAGAGATTTTTTCTCTTGTGAGCAGGTATTGATTGCTACGTCAGTGCTTTGTGTGAGAAAATTACGTCGTTTTCTCAAAAATTGATGACGTTACTCTCCGAAACAAGTGACGTAACAATCAATACCTGCTCACAAGAGCAGATAACTCTGCAATACGAAAAGACGGAATAGGCCACTTTCGTTGATTGCGATCCAAAAGGTTGAACCAGTTGCACCAGTGTTGTTTGTTTATGAAATAAGGTCGGACCTATTAATCTGATGCTGCTTTCAGGCGAGCCTTGACAAAGCCTTGCAAGGCCTGCATAAACATTTGCAAGTCTGCCAGGGTTCATACCTGAACATGTTAAATTTAAAAACAGATAAACCGCTTGTTCCGCATAAATGAACCGGCCTATTGCCATCATATTAATTGTAACAGTCAGTAAATTCACAGTTTTTTGTATTGTTTGCAGGTGGTGGACAGTGACTTCACCGACGTGTCCGTCATTGCCTTCCGTCGAGTGAACCAGATGGACATCAGTGGGAACGTCATCACACAGGAAGAGCACCTTCCCAGTCTTAAGGTCAGTCAGGGTCATCAGGGGACACTACTCTGGGAGTCATCAGGGGACACTACTCCATTTATCCTAATAAAGATTTGCAGCATTACATGAAAATAAAAGAACCTTTGATAATTTGAATTATTTAGTATGGGTTACAACTGATGAGCATTTACTTTAATATTTCTCATGTATGACCAGGGTTTTTTTTCAACAAACTAAATGCATATTGTTTTCGAGCAAAAGGTTTGGTACTGTAAGGGGAAAATTTCAATAAGCCTATTGGTGATTTAAGTTGGTCTTAGAATGGCATCACACAAATGGTTTAAAGGCATTACATTTTTGCCTCATTAAACTTTCGCCCTTTGCCAAGATAATCTATATTAGCCCAATGTTAAATTCACTTTTCACGTTTAATTCACATTTAATTTCTATGCATATTATGTTGTTTAGTATCATTCGCTGCCCTCTTTGGCAAAAAAGGCAAAAGTTAAACTGTGGTGAAATTTAAATAATCTCCGTAGTAAAATAAAAGCAAGCAGTAACAACCTAAATTTAAGTACAAAAGAAAATTTCAAAAATATCATCTTGAACTTCTTCCCTTAACAAAATATTTTCTGGATGCAAATTCCTGAACTTTGATAAGGTTTGCCTTAATTAGAAGCTTGTTTTGTAAGGAGTAACATTTTTCTATTTCACAGGTTCGGCTGTACCGAGACGAGACTCCCGATTCTCCCATTCATACCGTCAGTCTGGGTACTGTTACATTCTTCTTCCTTCCTTCCCTGCCGATCGACAACGAGGTCAGTATCTTTACCTCAAAATTCAATTCAAAATTTAATTCAAATTTATATCAATTTACATACCACAAGGAATCGACATGCAGAAATCTGTCAGTCTTGAAACAAATGAAGTGTATAGTGGATGTTACAGGCTCCGGGTGGCAATATCCTTTAAAAACTGGAAACTTATGCACCATTGGTTTTAAATTCAAATCCCAGTGCGACATAATAAAATCATCATTATATTAATTTTGATTCTTTTGTTATAGCAATACACCATTAAACTGGAGAGCTCCCTGTCCAAGGCTTCTTTTGAATTTACTTTGCCAACCGTCAACTTCGTGGCCAACACTTCCTATCAACACCACAGTATCAAATTCAGCCCCCTCGTAAGTCATCCAAATACTGTAAAGTCGCTCATTATTTCCCCCCGAGGGATTAGATATGGCTATATTTGCGGTCTGCGGTCACCAAAGATAGCGCAAAATAAAATTCCCAGCAGACAGTATTACCATGAATATAGGCAGATAAAAGAAAATACTTGTTTACCCCTTTTACTGCCGAAAAATGATGATAAATCACCAATAATTCAGTATCAGATTTTACGTTGTTTTGACTAACACTCATGAAATATGTCCCATCACTCAAATATACAATTACCATTGTGACTGCAGTAATTTTACCTTGCAATGTTGCGGGAAATTTCATCTCTGTGAATTACTTCAACTTCTTATTGGAAGAGAAAAATACTGCCTTACTGCTTTATTGACTAATGGCTTTATTGACTAATGGTTGTATGTCTATGAGTGATTTCAAAACTTCCAAAATTTAAGTTTGATAAAAAGGGCTGGCTTAATTTCCAGAAAAGGCTGTAACCAAATCATAATTCATCAGTAGAAGAGATGGTTGAGAATACACTACAGCCAATGAAAACATTACATTTCAGTCCATAGTGACTTTAGAAAAAACATAGAGCTACCAGGAGAATTGTTTTCTAACAAAAATTGATAAGGTAAATTCAAGGAAATGCCATTATCACAGCACTATCACTGCCATTATAACAACATGCCTGTGAGAATAGGAAGAAATGACCAGGCTCCAGGATTTTTAAAACAAAATTTATTTACGTATGTAACCCAGATTTCCACAAGAACCACAAGATCTTCTGCAATGAACTAGCTCTATATCCCCAAGTGTAGAACAAGTTTTTACAAAAATTCTTTTAGATATACTTGTACTATTTTATGGAATACTTTGGAAGAAACCAAACGAACCACAACAAATGTTCTGGCTTTTAAAAAGGCATATCTGGCCAATTATTTTAAAAATACTAGATCATGAATACCATGTGTTACCGGCATACCAAGTAGGTAGGGGATTCCCAATCACTGGGAAACCGAGTACTATATGTATATTTTAAAGTACAATATTTGAAATTATCCCTATGGTTCTGTTTATTATAATTTCCTGAGATAATCCTTATATTACCCTGTGATAAATATATGTATGTATTGACTTGTAATATGCTGTGATATTTTCTAATGTTCTAAATGCAATTCTGTGATATTTAGTGATACAATATAATAGGTTGTCTTAATAATGTATTGTACTATTTAACTACTTTTTCTATTTTATTGTATGTCATATGTCTCTGTATGTGCGATGTGCTGTTGTTTTATGTATGTATATATAATGTGTTTTACAGGGCCATATTGTAAACTAGATGAAAATCTAAATATGTTACCCTGTCTAAATAAAAGAATTTATTATTATTATTATTATTATTATTATTTATGCATTATGTTGTCTTTCTTTTTCCAGAGAAAATCTTTTGACCAAGAGTTCATTCAAGGGACTTCACTCTTCCTTCCCTTTTCATTACTCCTGGCTGCTGCAGTTTATAACTATCAAAAAGTGAGTGTTAAAAAAATGTTACTTTAGAAGCTAATGTTGTAGTTGACTATCAACTCTTTATCTGTGTTGTCTTCAGAACAGGAATATGAAGGAAATTGAGCAAATGCTTATGTTTGGTTTTGGCTCGACTCCTATCTGTCCAGTTTAGAATTAGAGACAGTCCTGATGTCTGGATTAAACATTTTTGGGACAGCTTTGACCAAGAGTTCAATTGCCGGAGGTAATTTGTTACTCGAGTTACTTGAAGGAAACCCCAAAAAGAAACTTTCTAAGATGTGGCCGTTTTCAAAAAAATAATTTAATCATGCAAAGAGATCTGTGGATATATCGTAAGTGTAGCGGTACTGGACTAGGTCAATCGTCAGCGACAAGGTAGCTTCATTGGTAGAGCGTCTGTCTAGAGTTCTGAGGGTTCCTGGTTCGAATCCCAGTCTGGCCATACATTTCCCTTTCTCGTGTTACAAATTTGTCAAGCTTGCCAACCCTTGTTTCAAGCACTGGGTGTATGCTTGACAAGGGGGTGTCTGAACCTGGGTAGAATATAGTGATGACTTCAGGGGGTGAAGACTAAGAAAAAAAAAGAGGGATTAATGTAGGGGAACTGGACAGGGTTGATCGCCACTAACAAGGTAGCTCAATTGGTAGAGCATTCGTCTAGAGTTTGTAGGGTCCTGGGTTCGAATTCTGGTTTGGCCCTGCATTTCTCTCTCTCCTGTTACATGAACATATATTCATGGTTAATTCAGACACCGGGGCCTGGGACTGTTGCCAAATTTCTCCTTGTTATTCAAACACAGGGGCCTGGGATATGTTGACAAAGTTTACCTTGTTTATTAAACACAGGGGCCTGGGCTATGTTGCCAAATTTCTCCTTGTTATTCAAACACAGGGGCCTGGGATATGTTGCCAAATTTCACCTTGTTATTCAAACACAGGGGCCTGTGATATGTTGCCAAATTTCTCCATGTTATTCAAACACAAGGGCCTGGGATATGTTGACAAAGTTTACCTTATTATTCAAACACAGGGGCCTGGGATATGTTGACAAGGTTTACCTTGTTTATTAAACACAGGGGCCTAGGATATGTTGCCAAATTTCACCTTGTTATTCAAACACAGGGGCCTGTGATATGTTGCCAAATTTCTCCTTGTTATTCAAACACAAGGGTCTGGGATATGTTGACAAAGTTTACCTTGTTATTCAAACACAGGGGCCTGAGATATGTTGACAAATTTCTCCTTGTTATTCAAACACAGGGGCCTTGGATATGTTGAAAAAGTTTACCTTGTTATTCAAACACAGGGGCCTGGGATATGTTGCCAAATTTCTCCTTGTTATTCAAACACAGGGGCCTGTGATATGTTGCCAAATTTCTCCATGTTATTCAAACACAAGGGCCTGCGATATGTTGACAAAGTTTACCTTATTATTCAAACACAGGGGCCTGTGATATGTTGCCAAATTTCTCCTTGTAATTCAAACACAAGGGCCTGCGATATGTTGACAAAGTTTACCTTATTATTCAAACACAGGGGCCTGTGATATGTTGACAAGGTTTCCCTTGTTTATTAAACACAGGGGCCTGGGCTATGTTGCCAAATTTCTCCTTGTAATTCAAACACAAGGGCCTGGGGTATGTTGACAAAGTTTACCTTGTTATTCAAACACATGGGCCTGGGATATGTTGATAAAGTATACCTTGTTCATTCAGACACAGGGGCCTGGGATTCATTTACAGTGTACACCCATTTTGATTTATACCAAAAGAAATTGGTTGTTTGTGTCAACCTTGTTTAGTATAGCCACTTAGGGTTCTGCATCTATATCCTATGTAACAGGTATCTATTTCCTCAAAATGCACATCAGGAAATAAACATGGGAGTTTCCCAGAGATATGACTAATAAAATTGTCAAACTGTATGTAACTGACACAATTCTGAGCCCTGTTTTCACGGTTTGTACTTCCTGTGGTACTTTAAGCACTGTGATGTCACCGTTTTAACTGTTACAGATTTTGCCCTATTTGATGCGCCTGCGGTCCCAGGCACAGTCTATGCTGGCCGCCAGTCAGACCGACACTTCGATGTCCGGGACAGGGGATGCAGGACTTGGCTCTGATCTCCAGATGAAGAAGAAGATGAAAGCAAGGAAGACATCATGATAATGTTGGGTTTAGATCTGGAAAAAAAGTTCTAATATCGTTTAGATTTTTATTGGGGTTTTTTGTCTGCAATAAAGTTGATTTGTTTGGACAGTGGATACAAACCCTTCCCCACAGTTAATCATGGTGAAGACCATTGCTGAAGAAATCCTATATTAAACTGTTTAATATATATAAAGAAAACTACAAAAAAAACAAGTCAGCTTATAAAACAAAATCTGTAGATTTTTCTACCAAACTCATGAAGAAATAAATTTACATAATGTTTCCTGTCATACTTACATCAATCAATGACACACACACATTGTCATAATTTTCTAGAAAATTTGTCCTACACACAAACTGATCTCAAGGTCTAAAGTCTGTTTTTAATATTTCTTCTCTGTTTTCCAATCGATTTCGTAGATTTGTCTTCAGACTGTATGTTGTTTAATGGTATATCTGTACCAAGGAGTGGAATGTATCTATTACTATTTATTTTACAACTTGCATTTTTTCAAGTCATTATTTTAAGTAAGGCTGTTAAAATGTATGCAGTTTTTGACGGAGCATAGAGAGCAAAGTATTAGATGTTATATTTCTACAGCAAATTGAAATTCCATTTTATGTGTTACTTTACTGTGAACCCTTTCACCCCGTGTAACTTTAGTAGACTCTGCCATGCATTGATATGGATGAGTCCATTATAGTCTACAGCGGTGAAAGGGTTAATATGGAGATTTGTTGGCTTTGTGGATTTCTCATCCCTTCACCTTCCTTTTGTGCCGCCTGATAACCCTCCAGGACCCCTTCAGGCCCCCTCCAGGCCCCATCCCTGCCCCCTGTTTATCCTCCTGGTACCCCCTGGTCTCAACCAGGCCCCTGATCAGTTCACATTTCTGGTAATACCTGGTCCCCTCTTTGCCCCCCTGTTCATCCTCCTGGTACCCTCTGGTCCCATTTAGGCCCCTGATCAGATCACACTCCTGGTTCTATCTGGTCCCCTCCATATGCCCTGTGACCATCCTCCTGGTACTCTCTGGTCCCATTTAGGCCCCTGATCAGATCACAAATTAGTTTTATCTGGTCCCCTCCATATGCCCTGTGACCATCCTCCTGGTACCCTCTGGTCCTCTCTGTGCCCATTAATCACTTGTCTTTTAGTCTCTGGTCCTCTCCGTGCCCATTAATCGCTTGTCTTTTAGTCTCTGGTCCTCTCTGTGCCCAGTAATCATGCATCTTTTACCCTCGGGTCCTTTCACAGCCCCCTGATTACCCCTCTGGTATTAAGGGTCAGACCTTATGGCCAGCTGTATGAAGTTTGTAAGATTTGAGATAAAGTATGTATGCATATGAATGTTTTGCTTAATTTGTATGCAAGTACCTCTCTGAATGATACTGAAATTTGATTCGAAATTTGTGATTGCTTGCAATACCTTGTCATGATTTAATGTGTTTTACCTAAGTTTCATACCTAGATTTGTGTCCAAAACGGAATGCTTGAGAATTGACTTACCCTAGAAATTGAATAAAATATATTGTGGAAGGAAGGTGAAGTAAGTGCTGGATAATGTTGTTTGATAGTAGGGTAGCTGTGATGTTCAATTTCAACAATTTCGTCTCAATAACACACTGTCTACAAGGCTATTAATACCCCAGCAAGCGTTATCCAGACCAAGGGATTGTCTAGTCTGATGCTAAAGAAACCTAACTTTTGTCATTATAGCTTTACACTATAAAAACACTTGTATATGCGTCAGCCTTCTTCAGAACCGCTGTCTTTGTTTTATATTAGAGAACAACAACACTTCCTTTGCACCAGAAAATATGCTGAAAATGAAAATAAAATCTTCATACTGATATTCAAAAACTCATGAATAATTGAACAAAATAGTAAACACTTTCACAAAAACTTTTTGTATTTTTTTTTGAAACAAGGTTATACTTTGTTTAGGAGTACACTTTTTGTGTGTATGTTATTAGGTAGTACACTATATAGTATATTATAGATGTTGTAGGTATTAAATTGTTGCACATTCCTTTTATAATCAGTTTTTATTCCAGATTCAAGTTCCTCCTGTGTGAAGGGATTGAACTGAGGTCACCTCAACCCGTTTTATATATTGCCAGTTATCGGAACTTACTGCTGGAATAAAAAAAACATGAACTGTTAACTGAAAAAAGGGAATTTAATTAAGCGTAACTTATCATTATTTCGGGATTTGAGATATAGTTTATATTCGACATATGAATTAGACTTTGTCGTATGCATTTTTAACTCATTTACCCCCTGAAGATGCATTTGAACTCTTCCAATTCAAAGGATGGAATAGTTAATTATGAAATTTCAGGGGTGGATGAGTTAATGATTCAGCAAGTGAAATATAAACATGCAGATCGTATAACAGGGTTTAGGGTAGAGCCAACGCCGTGGGTTCTTCAATGGCGGAATAATCTGGTCCTCTGCCCCTCGTCTGCATACTGAAGGCAATTAAGTAAAATGGGTTTCATAGACATTCAGTCACTACAGGCGAAGGAGCATGTGTTTTATTAGAAATAGTTGTGGTTAAATCTATGATCGCTTAATATAACGATATGCAAACTTTTCTTAAAACAGATTCTAAAAGCACAATTCCATGTTTCAAGTTAATTACCTGGTACATGTATTCATAAAACTGAATTTTGATTACACACCATTCATTTGTTTGGATCTTTTGTCTATTGCAAGATTGTGTATAAGATTGTTTACAGAACCTTTAAATTTAGTACTATTTAATTCAGATGTATGTACGTTTGTCTATTTATCCAGTTTATTGTGAATTTGTTAAGGGATATTGTGAGTTTAACATGTCAACACATTCACCCCTGATGACACATTTGAACTCTTCCAATTCAAAGGTTGGAATAGTTCATTACGAAATTTCAGGGGTGAATGAGTTAAAGTGTATGATTTGTAAGCAGGGATACGTTCAGACTCGAAAATATTCTGGTGGGCACATTTCGTGAAGTGCATTTCTGACCTTTTAATTCGAAGAGGGTGCATTGCACTGTACTTTTCTACAACAAATTGCTACAAAACGTTTTTGTTCCTGAACACACTCTATGTTGAATCTGTAGAAGTATGGGGTGTAAAGTACTAGAGTTTCTGGGTGAAATTTAGAGGATAGATATTTTGTACCTGTATGAAGAGAATTTGTACCCGTATGAAGAGATTTTGTACCTGTCTGAAGAGATTTGTGTATTTGTAATAAAAAGAATTGTCCTTTTACTAGATGTGTCTGTGATTTTTATTTTCATCTTAAACACAAGATTATTTTCTAAATTTTCAAAAACTGCAAAGCATTATGGGAAAGTGCCACCATGCTTGTTAACGATGAGAGTCACAACAGGAGGTCAGAATCTTGCCAAGCTTATTTTCCTGCCTGTTAATTGGACACATATTTGACAGGCTCATTTTTTCTTTCTAAAAAGGGTTCATATTTCGGCTATTGCTTAGACTGCATGGCTGTTACTTGGTGTATGTATTTTATTTTTACTCACCTGGCATAAAGATCCAGTGAGATTTTTACTGTTGCAGCATCCATCATCTGTTGTATGTTGTCAACCTTTTTCTTTAAACAACTTCCTGTACAGAACAATAAGACCTGGAGTCATGACAATTTTATGTAACTCTCTAGGATGAAGGGCAAATTAACTTTGTTCCAATATATGTTCTTGACCTTCATTCAAGGTCAACTTCTACTTAATCTTGGTGCCATGAGTAGTGATATTTGAACTGTAGCTTACTGCAGTGAAGGTTTATAACTTTGTACTGATAAATGACCTCACCAATATTCAAGTATCACAGGAGTAAAATGTGTTATAATTTGCTTACTTCTAATGAACAATGAATGATACAGAGAGAAATTATATTTCATCTGAAGCTATCTGGGCTATACCAGGTGTGTTCAAATGAATTATCTTGATTCACATGCAGCGTCATATGGTTCAAAAGTGTTAAAAAATGTCAAACAACTTCCTCTCCAGAACTGCAAAGTCCGTCTGGTTTCATGATATTTGCCACTTAGCTTACATGAGTGATAGCCTTTCCAGTGTGTTCAGATAAATGTCATTGGCTTGCATTTAATGCCACAGAGTTTAAACATGACATCTTCTAATTAACTGCATACATCAGGTAATGGTATTTGCCCAATAACTTGCTGGGGTTAAATGTTGCTCAAATATTTACGTCACAGCTAGAGCCGAATGGTTGCAGAAGGTGATATTTCTGCTTGATCTGGTTAGACTTCATTGATGTCTGTGGTTGTCGCTCATTCCTGGACTTAATTTAGCAAATGGGAACTGTTTGATCTGGTTTCCATCCCTGCGTCTGAAGCAAGAGTGTAAGTCGACAATTCGACATCATCAGATGGTAGGACCCTTCAAACCCATGACGCCCTACGTATACAGTTGGCGGGTCCACAGTACTAGTGGTGATGTTCTCACCGTGTGTCGTTGTGCGACTTCTACTTCTTGTCCTTTCGCTGTTGTCTTGCTCTCCCAAGACCCTGAATGTCTTCCGTCCGTCTTTGTTGAGTATCCCTAGCGCATAGGATGTCTTCATCTCATACTAGGCTGGGAATCCACTGCAATTCCGTTACATTGGGAATAGCAAGGCCTTCCATCCTGTTATCCGACAGGTCTCCTTAAGATCCCAATACTTGGCGCTTTTCCTCTCATGGGCCCCCTCGCATCGCTGTTCCTAAGCCATAGACAGTTCTAACATGATGATTTCTTGTCTTCGGCCAGAGACATATAAAGCCAGTATATACGTCTCTGCTTCGGCTGACCATAGTACCGCATCTGTTCGTAGTGTTGTGTGGATTACATTTGGGAAGACTAACTGCTAGCCAGGGTCTTCTGTCATCTGCCATGATGAACTATCTAGCAGCCTGCTTTTTTTCGCCCGCTCGAACAAACTCGAATACTGTTTGCTGGAACAGGCTGTTTGTTTGGTCTTCTCTCCCTTTCGAATGTATCGTCTAAGCTCCGAGGAACCTTGTCGTGTCTCAATCGGTATCGCCCTTGTTGTAAAGCCTCTTTGCATCCAGACAAGATGAAGGCCATTGTTGCACGATCTCAACACAGCCTGCATCCTGGATCTTCACTCTCCCATCTCTAATGCAAGGAAAACTTCAAACAACTTTCAGAAAAATATATAATGCCTAGATAATACTTAGGATACCTGGTCGGTAGCTTGCTTGGATGAAAAACTGTTAAAAATAAACGATTAAATCCGATATGACAAGCAGCAAATCAGATTAATTACTATATTCTTTGCTAACAACATAAGATAAAAACAAATATTTAGTTGCTTCCTTAAATTAACATGTTCGAGGGGTGCATCGTCTGAGAATAACATTCTTACGAATTGGTTTGTCTCTCTGTCACTCAACTGTCGTCCTTTGCAGCCAATGTGGCACTTGCGTGCCTTTCTTTAAATTTCACAATTTGCCTCTCCATGCCGGTCACTCCCAGCAAATTAACTAATCACTGTCCAAACGTGACTGACCCACAGACCGCAGATCATTGTAGCCAAGCTGAACTGGCGGGTTCCATCAGTAACCCAGATCCATTTTAGCCCGTGTAAAATCCCAATATTATTACCTTAATTCTCCCTTTTACACGACGTCACTGAAGAAATGTCAGCTCAAACTCAACTTGAGGGAGACACGCAGTGTTTTTAATTTGCCAGCCCATTCTTTAATCCCCGTATGCTGCCACAAATGTTCCGGTACTTGATCGTTTCGGTAACCGAGATGTTTTTCAACTTTGAACTTTGTTTTCTTTTTGTTTCATGTGTGTTGCTGATTTATGAGACTATTCATTATTAATCGTCTTTACACAAAAAAAAGTAGTAACGAACCATTCTATACTTAGGTACCGAAACAACGACTAGAATTGTATGTCATGCACTGGTGCTTGTATCTCTTCCTTCCCCTCCCGGGGGTTACGTTTAGTTCCACTGTCACATTCTGTGTCAAAAACCACACTTTATTTTGCATAAAACAGTAACTTATTTATTAATCAAACATATTTATAACATACATATGATTTCAAATAGATGGGAAAACAAACTTCGAGCTTATATTGTTTGTGTAACAGGAGAAAGAGAAATGTAACGGCCATTACGGGATTCGAACATGGGAACCTTCCGAACTCTAGACGGACGTTCTTCCAATTGAGCTACCTGGTCGCCGACGATCGACCCAGTCCAGTTTCGCTAAACCTGGAACTTATCTAGTCCCTAATTTCACCCGTATTTCCCAGTTACACGTTGTGGCTATAAGAAACCACTCCGCTCATTTCGTTTTTCTTTCACCGCAGCCTTCACATTTTCATAGAAAAAAGGCCCTTTGTGACTTTTTCCTTCCTTCATCTGCCCATGCCAAGTTTATCTACGATGTTCTCTGACACTCGTGTTGTATCACGACAGCATGTGGTGTCGATTGTCAAATCTCCAGTATAGCATACTCTTTGAATTGGGGATCTTTCTACTTCTAGCTACTCTTTGTTTCCTACTGCCTTGCTTGGGCTACACCTCACTTGAACGTATGTCCAGGTGAGGAAGGCAATGGGTTCTGTCCCCAGGCCGGGACATACCAAAGTCCTTAAAAATGGTAGTTGTTATTACTTTTTCAACGTTCAGCATTTAGGGAAATGTCAACAACTGGGTCACCCGTTGTCAGTATAATGTGACCGGGCGGAAAACTGTGCTTGGTGCCTTCGGCATGGTATTTCAGTGAGGTAGCACTATAGAGTCGGCAAATACACCAACATATCCTGTCTCCGGCACACATACACACTTGTACGCTTACACAACACACATGGAGGCACGTCCTTAAATGACCTTATAAGTAAATAGAACGTTAAACAAAATGAAACCAAACCTAACTTTCAATGGCGTAAGTGTAAACTCCTGGAGTATCGAGGATGCATGTGCAGAGTTATTTCGAAACCCAAGGGTTTCAACTCTCGATACACATATCTGCTTTGCACCCCTGGAATATAACATGACCAAAAACAAAAGTCACGTGGTTAGTTATTTGATTGGAATAACCCTGACCATGTCGGTCAAAAGCTCCATAGAGCGTATATTATTTGTTTTTAAAATGCCCACCGACTTTAAATAAAATTTGTCTTATCTTATCTTACCAACCGCTAGACTGATACCTGTCCTTTGAAGATTACAGAAGAGCTACACCGAAATCAAATGCGATCTGGTGCCAAGCGATTGATTTTATCTTGTTTTGAAGAGATGGCAGGTGAAGCGAAACATGACTTGGTAGCTGAATTGGTAAAGCGTCCGTATAGAGTTCGTAGGGTCCCGAGTTCGAACCCCGGTCTGGCCGTTGCATTTCTCTTTCTCTTGTTACATAGGATTCCGTAACAGTTTTCAGACGGACGCAATACGGTGACTTCAATATTTCGTCATGGCATATTCCAGGTGTGTATAGAACATTATTATTATGTATGTCGAGAACAACACCCAAGCTTGGGTTTCGAAAATGATACAAAGGTTTGTTTGGCCTGTTAGTACGTCAAACACGGCCTTCAGTAAGATGTCTTCTTGCTGGCATTAGATATTACCACAGTAAGATTGGTCATCATGACATTACTCATTATTCTTAAATATTTTTTTAGTACCAGGAAAAATAGAAAAAAAAATACACTTTTTATGTCAATTTCTTTCATCAATGGATCACGTTCCATCTAAAAAAAATGCTTTTACTCAAAAAAATGAATCACCACCTCTTTTTGAAGGAGCACTTGGTTGAGTGTCTGAAACCGGAAGTTCTCACTAGACCAGGGCCTACACAAAATAAGGACACGGGACCTTTATTTTACTAAATACGTACACGCATATCAAGAGCACAGGACTTGGATCAAGGAATACTACAACGTTGAAGAAAACCCCTGTATTTTGCTGTTGTCTCGCCTTCTCGGGACACAGGACTTTGTAACTGGCTACATAGACTGGTCTCCGTCTCTAGAATTTTTAATTGTTTACATAAAAATAAACTCTAATAATTTTGATCTCTTGGAGTGTCTGATTCTAGAGACTCGAAGTTTTCAAACTAGGAGATGTATATTTTGTAAGTTAGTGGTAAAATGCAGCTGGGAAATTCTTCATAAAATCTTAGGAGCTAGTCGCAAGTTTAATGGGTATTAGTTTCAAGTTTAATTTTTGACCGTCAAGGTTTAGTCTGGAAACACTGTCTCTTTATA